GCGTGACGCTGAGCGCTTCAATGCAGACGTTGTCAATGTTGTGCGCTTCGTCAAAGACGACGATGCAGTCGCGCTCGAGCGAGCGTGAGACCATGGTCGAGACCTTGGGGTCGAGCATGTACTGGTAGTTGTACACAACCACGTCCGCAAACGTGAGCGCGTGGCGCGTCATAAAGTACGGGCACCAGCCTTTCGCCGTGCCCATGGCCTTGAGGTCGTCGAGCGTGTACACACCGGGCTCGAGCACGCGCTGGTCCATCGAGCGCGAGTCGTACTGCTCGTAAAAGCTGCACGTCTCCAAGTTGCGCGACGCGGCTTGGGACCGGACCCAGGGCGCAGTCATGTTGCGGCATTGCGCGTCGACGGTCTCGCCGTCGGCGTGGGCCATGACGCGCGAGTGCACGCACATGTTGCGGCGCGAACTCAAGCAGACGGCCGTGATGCCCATCGAGGCGTCGCCGAGCACCTCGTTGCGGTACTTCATCAAGTGCTTGATCTCTTCGACGCACTTGGACATCTCGGGCACCGTTCGCGTGCAGTAAATGAGCTTGCCAGTTGTCTGCGGATGCGCCGCCTACATGCAAATGTGGCTTGTATCGTCGCGAGCAGCATCATGCTGGTCGTCGTACCTTGTACGAGAGGACAAGCGAGAGGAGCGAGACCGTCTTGCCCGTACCCGTGGGCATCTCCAGCATCGCATGGCCCTTGGCGTCGAGGGCGCGCTTGAGCTCGCGCATGTACGCGACCTGCTCCGCGTACACGCGCGGGTATGGGAAGAGCACCTCGAGGCCTTCGATTTCCAGCCGCATCTTGCAAATGGAACCCCAGGAAGCCCGGGGTGTATTTGCGGCACATGCCGAAAGTAACCACCGGCACCCGACACCGCTTCGAGCAGTTCACGCACGTCGCACTGTGTGCCAGGACGACCACACAGCCTCGCATTACTGTCGCTAGCGTCGCGAGCACTACCTACGACGGGTCGTGCACGTCCTTGGTAGCGCACCGGAGGCGCGATGCGGCGGTATATGCCGAATCTAGTGAGTGTGCCGAATCTAAATGCCACAACCGCAACGCGGGACACACCCCAGAGGGGCGCCACGCGGGAAGCAAGTAACAGGCGACCGCTTCCGGCGTCGACCATTGTAGCGATCGTCCATCATTCCACTCGTCCCAGTATTGCGTAGGTATATGCACAGGTGGAGGATCCTGCAGATCTGTGGAAGGTCCTGGCTCGAGTCGACGCTGGTGCTTGGCCCAGCGTCTTCCACTTGCCTCGTCAATGGGTGCTCTCATTTCGAACCAGAGCACGAACGTAGCGTAGCGATAATTACTTGGGCATCTTACAAGCGGGGGAGAGCGGTACTGAGGTCGGAGGCGCTCATGCCTGCGCGTGGACAAAACCCTTGGAGATAATAGCATGAACAACGTCGTAGGGCGCCGTCGTGAAGAGCGACGCCGGGTACACGGCAGCGCCCCATTCGGGATGGAGGAGGATCTTGCACATGCCGGCGCTGAGGCACGAGTAGTGCAAGAGCACTTCGACGCCGTCGACTTCGCTGTAGACCTTGCTCGAGTTCATGGCGAGCATCTACAGCAGCACCATTGTTGTGAGCCAAGGCCAGGCGAGGCGTCGTACCGGCAGTCCCGAGCACGGGTCGATAAAGTCCGCCCAGTGACCAGACGCGACGATCGCCGTCGCCACGTCTTGGGCCCAGCGCGCAAAGTTCTCGAGGAGCCGGTCCTTTTCCTTGTCGGCCTCGCCGCCAAACTGGGCGAGGTCCACGCAGGCGTGCTGGCAGGTCACGACCCCAAGGACCGCGCTGTCCTTCTTGAGCGTGGCCGGGAAGACGTGGACGAGCTCGCGCAGGAGGGTGCGGGGACACTCATGCACGGAGACCTCGAGCCCACTGCTCGTCATGGTCGGCGGCAGGTGCATCACATGGCGGAGCGGCCGCGACGTCCGCACGACCCGGCCTTGGCCTTCGTCCATGGTGCTCATGCGATTGCGCAATAGGCGGATCTTGTATCGAGAAGCGTCCGTCAATCAAGGGGGGCTTGTAACGAGGGTGATTTGGTGCTCGGTGAAGTGCGGAATAATCCCTCACCAACCAACGCGAGGGTAGTATAAAACGCATTTTTTATTCCAAGCCGTAATTATGTACTGAATAGTTGTAAGTAATAAAATAAAAGAATGCCGGAATGTCGTTTTCTATTGCAATACACGGGAAATATACGCGAGTTTACGGGAATTTACGGTAGGCGCAACCGGACCATTCGCTGCAAGATCACGACCAGCAGCATGGGCGGGCAGCGTAACAAGCACTATGGCAAGAAGCGCAAGGCGCAGGACGACGCGGGCGACGTCGCGCCGGGTCACCTCACCAAGAACGACGAGTGCAAGATCATTGTGCTCAACTTTGGCCAGTGGTCCGAGAAGGACGAGCTCACCAAGGTCCTCGAAGCCAGCGGCCACAGCTTCAAGGCGGTCCAGAAGCTCAACAAGCTCTCGTATGGCTTTATCATTTACGAAGACAAGGAGCAGCGCGATGCGGCGCTGAGCGTCCTCGCCGAGATTGAGTGGAAGAACGGCGAGAAGCTCGAGGTCAAGGCCGCCTTGCCCAAGCGCAGCTTGAAGCCCATGGCCAAGTCGGACGACGCGTCGTCGGGCGAGCCGGGCGCGCTCAAGACGGTCATCGAGGCCGTGACGCCGTGGCACAACGTCGACTACGCCGAGCAGCTCGAGCGCAAGGAAGACGCGATGAAGAAGGTGCTTGTCAAGATCGTGCGCCAGACGCGCAAGGAGTTTGCGGACAAGCAGAAGCGCGTCCTCGAAGAGCGCAAGCGCATGCGCAAGCAGCAAAAGGTCGAGACGATCCACGACGTTGTCGGCGGGCCGGCGCTTGAAGTGCCCGTGCCCGAATGGCTCGATGCGACCGGCTCGCTCTACATCGTCGCCAACGAGACGCTCTACGAGCAAGTCCTCTCGTCTATCGAGAACCCGTGGGTCGCGCGTGCCAAGGCCGAGGGTATCATCGGCCTCGTCACGTTTGCGTCCGAGCTCGTCGGTGTGCACCGTGATGGGTCGCTCCACACGTACCAGAAGCACACGACGTCGTGGCGGTACCTCTCCAACGGCCCGACGGCCGCCGTGACCTCGCTCGCCTCGCTCCGTGGCCACCTCCTCTGCGCCACCGCCAACGGCGACGTATGTCTCTTTGGTCATTCCCAGTGTGCGACTGATGCCTTGTAGATTGTGCGCCGTGTCGTCAAGGGTCGCCGCGACGTGATCGAGTGGGTGACGCTGGCGACGGGCCTCGGCCACGTCTCGGCCATGAGTGTGCACCAGGGCTTCCTCTACGTGGCGACGGCTACTGGCTGGGTCAAGGCACCGCTCGGCCCGGAAGCCACTTCCGTGCTCGAGTTTGCACCGGCGCCCGAGATGCCGTACCCGCGCGTGCACGGGCTCACGTCCCACGACGCCAAGCTCATCTTTGTTCAGTCGACCGAAGATGCTGCCCGCGTCGAGATTGTCCACGTTGAGACGGACGGCACGCTCGTGAGCCGCACCAACATTGACGCGGCGACGTCGATCCAAGGCTTTGCCTCGCACAAGGGTATATCGAGTTGTATCAAACACTGTTGACAGAGGAATAGGGTTGTGCTGCCCCATGGAACCGATCGCGGCTTCGCCGATCCTCGAGGGCTACCGCAACAAGTGCGAGTTTACCTTTGGCTACGACGTCGAGCACAAGCCCGTGGTCGGCTTCCGCGTCGGCATGTTCAAGGAAGGCGTTGTCGCCGTCGGCGTGGCCGACGAGTGCATCAACGTGCCGCAGGTCATGAAGGACATTTGCCGCACGTTCCAGGTACATTCTCGGTCTTGAAAAAGTATCAATGTATCAATGAATTGGACCTTAGGCGCACTTGGAAACGTCGTCGATGCCCGTCTATGACGTCATGACGCACGAAGGCGTGTGGCGACTGTTGACGATCCGCCTCTCGCAGCGCACCAACCAAATCATGCTCATGATCCAAGCCAACCCGAGCAGCGTCGACGCCGAGGCCTGGACGACCGAGAAGACGGCGTTGGTCGAGACGCTCACAGCGGCGCACCCAGCCATCTCGTCCATGTTTGTGCAAGAGTACACGGGCGTCTCGGCGCCGACCGAGGACCACCCGATCGAGCACGTCTTTGGCGCGACGACCATTGAGGAAGAGCTCCTCGGCCTCAAGTTCCGCATCTCGGCGCAGGCTTTCTTCCAGGTCAACACGCCGGGCGCGGAAGTGCTCTACTCGCTCGTCAAGCGCTTCGCCGCCGCGAGCGACGCGACGCAGGTCTACGACGTGTGCTGCGGCACGGGTACGATCGGCATCTGCGTGGCCCAAGACGCGCGCAAGGTGATTGGTGTCGAGCTGTGCAAGGCTGCGACGGACGACGCCGCTGTGAACGCCGAGCTCAACAACATTCGCAACATCTCGTTCATCAACTCCAAGGCCGAAGACGTCATGAAGGAGCTGCTCAAGAAGAAGCCCGAGGGCGAAGGCGCCGAATTCCTCAAGGAGGCCGTGGCGATCGTCGACCCGCCGCGCGCTGGCTTGCATACCAAGGTGCTGCGCTCGCTCCGCGACACGCGCCCCGTCAAGCGCATTGTGTATGTGAGCTGCAACCCCACCGTCTCGCTCATCAACGTACGTGCGCATTTCGAGATGTCGTCGTGACAGACTTGATTTGTCATTGTCGTGACATGGACGGCTCATATGTATGAACTAGGACGCGACGACGCTGTGCGGTCCGTGCACGAGCAACCTCCGCGGCACGCCGTTCAAGCCGGTCTTTGCGGCGCCAGTCGACATGTTCCCGCACACGGAGCACTGCGAGATGATCATCGTCTTTGAGCGCGTCGACGTGTAAACCCGAGTCCTTTCCGGTTACGAAATAGACACTATATACCATTACGTCAAGTGGGGTCGACTTGCTAAACTAGGAGAGCAATCTTCCCCTAGAGAGACACACGGGGAAGCACGCATGTCGTCGAAACTACATGGAGAACGTGACCAGTCGACGTGCGCCGGCGACAGCGCGCGCGAAGCACCCGTGCATCATGGAGTGCTTGCGGTGCGCTAAACTGGGCAACCGCAAGCGCCGCGCCATCGACGTCGATGGTCACGGTGTAGAGCACGAGTGGCTGCAGTCCCAGCGTGTTGCCGGGCAGGCTGTGCGGGGCCACGTGCCAGTAAAGCACCGGGTAGTCCAAGAGGAGTCCCGCTACGGCAATTGCACTCTGTGAGAAACGTTGCAGCAGCGGTGTCAACGCCAGGACGTGGTGGGCGGTCGACCACGTGAGGGCTGTGACGAGCGCAGTCGCAAACGCCGAGAGCGCAGGCGGCGGCGTCAGGATCTAGGGCACGGGATCGCGTATGCGTACATCTCTGCGAACGGCGTACCGTCGGTGCGGTGCTCGTGGAGGAGCTTGCCGAGGGCGTGACGTCAATGCACAAGCGATGTGCCCAAAGCGACGCGACGTCGGTCACGAGAGAGCGGGAGAGACGGCGCGCATGAACAAAGAAGAGGTCGTCATCGAGGTAGACGGCTCGTACGTGGTCACAGCCCATGAGTTCCTAGCCTCTGTGAGTCGCTTTTAGTCGAGTGCGAGGTACCTCGCGTAGAGCAGCGAGGAGGGCCAACGCGCGTGGCTGCGGGATCGCTGCACAGTCGACAAGGCACGCAATGCGGACGCCCGTGACGACGAGGAAGAGGTCGTTGGCCAACGCCGCCACAACTTTTTGCGGCCACCGCACCTTCTTTTGCAGCGTGCGAGCGTACTACAACTGCAGCACTATGGCCTTTGCAACTGGCAGAAGGCGCCTACCCTGGTGATGGCATGAACGATCTGTCGCCGGACGTGTCCGCTGCAATCGGGCGACGGACTCATGCAGTCAGCATAGAGGCCATCGACCGCCTTGGAGGCGGCGCGGCAAGCACGATGGTCGTCGCCGTCGAGAAACCGGCCGACGAGGCCAAATGTGGCGGCGAAGCTCGCGGGCGTCCCGAGGATGCTTGCCATCGCGTGCTTGGATCAGCACCCGTGATTGGTAAGCCGGAAATAATGCGATTTCATTGGTTGATCTATTTTCTGCCGTGGTATCATTGGTTGACCGAATCCCAGAAGGATCTCGAGGAAGGACCTTCCTCCGACCACGGCGACGCTGGCGCTGCAGGCGTCGCGATGAGAGCGCCGTCACCCAGACGTCGTCTTCTTGCATTACCAAACTCGCTCCGATGACAACAACGTTGACGAAGGACCCGACGCCGCCCGTCGCCCCGGCCAAGTCGAGCACGACGATCCAGGAGGCAGCCGTCTCGAGCGCCGCCGAGTGCCCATTTGCAAACGTGGATGTCGCGCTTCCCATGCATGTTGCATCCGACTCGTGCCCGTTCCACGCCCACGCAGTGCGCCAAAGCCCAGCGCTGTGGAGCGATGTGCCGGTCGTCATTCGATCGCTCACGTTTCAGACGACGCCGGCGTCGGCCCAGCTCCTGCGCGACGTTGGCGGCGGCGACACCATCCGCGAGCTTTGTACGCGCTTTTACGCCCGGGCATTTCTCGACAAGCAGCTAAAACCATTCTTCTTTGAAGAGGACGGCGCGACGGCCCATGGGCAGCGGCTTGCCGACTGGATCATCCAAAAAATGGGCGGCGAGGGCCAGCCGTGGACCGACAGCGGGCGCTGGGGGCTGCGCCAAGTGAGCCACGCCAAAGCATGGGTCAGCGAGAAGCGCGATCCGTCCGTCCGTGGCGACCACTTCAACCTCACCGACGCCCGGACGTGGATGCGCATTCATTTTTGGGCCGCACGCGAGTGTGGACTCGCAGACCACGCCGTGTTTTGGCGCTGGTACACTCGGTTTCTTCAGCATTTTATCGCCATCTACGAGCGCCGCGCCGTGCGCTTTGCACAAGACGATGCTGCGTGGTCGGCTGTACCAGACAACCTGGCACGCTATCTGGAAAACGACCATAGAATGCCAGATGTAATCTAGTTTCCGACACCACCGACTGCATCCATAAGCCCACACTAAGCTTAGTTTATTTTGATTGTCCTCTCGTGTCGACGTTGACAGGTGCCTTCCCAGGATCCGCCTTCCAAGATCCAAATTGCAGCGCAGGATTGGCTAAAATACAAATACAACGGCCAATCCCATTCCATCATGACGATGATTGGCCAAAAAGACGATGCGTCAACCAATGCGATCGCACTTGAGTAGCATGGCGTCGCTGCCAGCAGCGCCAGAGGTCGACCTGGACCTTATCTCGCTCCTCAATGCAGACTGGAGCGACGCTGCGCACTCAACCTATGTGGCGCCACCACAGCGCTCGGCCGACAGCTTTCTCCGCTCGCTCTACGAAGAAGATGTTGCAACCAAGTCGTCCCGCGGCCTCCACACGTTCGCTCGCCCTCGTGTTCATGGCCTTGGCCTTGGCTCATGTATGATTGCTGTGTAGATCCACGCAGCAGCGTCGACCAGCGGCGAACAATGACCTCGAAGCTGTCGTCTTGGAGCAGCGACGGCGCATCAAGGCTCTCAAACGAGAGCTGAAGGCCAAGGTACGTACTTTTGATCGTCGGGGGTACACGTTGAGCGCTGTCCTAGGATATGGAAATCCAGCGGCTCAAGATGCAGCCGGTCGAGCCGAGCAATGTTCGCGCCAGTCGCCCAGGGCCCAACGAGGTAATGCATCGCCCGCGAAATGACGACGCCTGACACACTTCTTTGCAGCTTCGCGCCGAGCTCGACGCGCTCAAGGTGCGCTACGAGCGCACACGAGACAGCAACACGGAGCTGCGCCGGGTACATAATGCATCAGACAACTCGCTTCCTACCAAACACATTTGTATGCCAGCGGGCAAAGGAGCTCGACGCGCTCTGTCAGCGGCAAGCAGCCGCCAATACAATCCAGGCGCAGACGATTCAGCGATTGTCGGCAAAGACCGCAGCAGTACGCTCGCTGGGGTCACTGTCCCGACCTTATCAACGGCGCGTCGTAGGCTGCCACGTCAAAACCACGAGCGCCGACCTTGCGTCCCACGGCTATTTCTGCCCCGGATCGACGTCTTCTCGAAGAGATGCACGCGCTGCAGACAGCTAGCCAAGCCGAGGTTGCGCGGTCGTTGAGCATGCGGCAACCGTTTCACGGCCCGTCTCTTGGCCCATCTCTCGCCGTGTCGACAACTGAGACGGAGTACATGGCTCTGTCGCCGCCACCGACCCCGCACCCTGCGTCGCCCCAGGCCTTGGTCCGGCCGGCGGCGCTGCCGGTCGCGCCACCCGCGCCGCTGCAGTGGAGTCGCCGCCTGCCATCGGCCCACCCCCAAACCTACGGCACCTCTGCGCCAATCACAGCCAAGCTCCGGGCGCTCTATCTGAAACAAAAGACCAAGGCCGAATGATCGCCAAGAGCCTCCGCGACGCGGCGACGCACACGAGCGCAGTGCGGCAGCTCGTGCTGCGCAAGTCGGAAGACCTTCTGTGCATGAACCTCATGTGCGAGCGCGTCGGCGAGGCCTGCGTCTGCAAGCTCAGCGTCGTGCTCGAGCGCCTACCGCAGCTGGAGCACTTGGACGTGAGCCGCAACAACTTGAAGTCGCTGCCGCCTGCGATCTTTTCACTGCGCCATCTCACGTCGCTCAACGTGAGCGGCAACAAGCTCTCGTCGCTGCCCGACGGTCTCTTGAGCAACCTCGCGTCGTTGGAAGCGTTGTACGTCGAGGACAACCCGGACTTGACCGCTTTGCCAGCCGACGCGGTGCTGCCCGCGCTCACTCATGTCTACGCACGGGGCACGTCGCCAACGTTTACGCTGCCACCATCGCTGGCGCACGCCGTCCTGATGCGAGACAAAAAGTAAATCAAAACGACCCTATCGACTAGCTTGTGGTGGTGTGGTATCGACTAACTAGAGTTTGGGCAAATTGAGAAAGCCCGTCGAGCCGCGCTTTGCGAGCATATGTGGGACACCGTGGGAGCGCGGTGCGCTATTAAACGACTTTTGGCTCAGTAGCGGACGCGGCTTGGTCGGCTTGGGCGGCGGCGCCACGGGCCGCACGACCGCCGGCTCCTTCTCGACCTCGACGGGCTCGGCGAGTTTTTGTAACACGAGTGCTGGCGCCAGCGGCGTCGTGCGCGGCGCTGGCTTGAGCCGGCACTTGTCGCCCGACACGCGCATGATGGTATACTGTCCATGCACGCCATCTTGGATGCTCCTAGGAATCTCGGCGGCTTGGTGCCCGAGCGGACCGAGGCCAAAGGCGCTGGGCTCGGGCGGCACAAGACGCGCGTCGTCCACCGACGCGACCTGGACCGTCCACACCACGGGCAGCTGTAAGAGCACCCGCGTCGGTCGAAACCCCGTGTGGAAGCTCCACGGTGTCTGCCGCTGGAGCTTGAGGGGCGGCGGCATCGCCGCTGCGAGCTTCTCGACCGTGTGCATGGTCGAGGGATCCATGTCAAGCATCGTGATCAAGGTCGAAACAAGGCCCGTTTCGTAATTGTCGTCGCGGTCCGAGAGCTCGGCGTTGAGGTGCGCGAGTGCGACGCTCGAGACTTGACGAATGTCGGACGCGCCGACCTGCGAGAGCATGATGAGCAAGGGAATCACGCCCGCGGCTTTGGCTTGCGCCTGAAACGCACGATTCCGGGTCGCGGTAATGTTGTGCAGCAGCATCACAACGTGTCGGCACGTCTCGCGCTCACGGGCGCGCGTCAGCGTCTGCAGGATCGGCACGATCCGCAGGTCGTGCAAAAGGGGCGGAATGCACGCAATGTACGTCGAGAGCGTTCGCAGAATGAGCGCGATGCGTTCGGCGATCTCGCTGGTCGATGGCGGCACCGCCGACGCAATTACGTCAAAGAGACCGTCGGCCACGAGCTGCGGGCCGCTGTGGCCGCCGCGCGCGAGGCGGCAGAGCGCAATGACGCACAGACCGATCGTGCGCGGATTGTTCCCGCGGGTCGCCGCGCACCGGAGAATGCGCACGGCTCCTTCGTGCACGAGTTGATTGGCCGCGGCCGCGTCTTCCGAGAGGGTTGTCACGATCTCGGCCGCGACGTCTGCGATCGCGACACCGTCTTCGTAGCTCAAGACGTGCAAGAGGGTTGGCACGACATCGGCCGTCAGCATCGCAGGATGAAACTTGGCGTGGTAGCTCATATTGTGGAGCACTTTGGCGCCGGTCAAGAGCACGAGCGACTCTTCGGACGTCTGTAGAATGCCCACCACCGACGCAATTGTCTCGGCTTCCTGCAGCTTTTCGTGGGCGCCAACTGCACACGAGAGGTTGCAGAGGGCGCTGAGAGCAAAGAGCGTCTGCGGCCCGTCTTTCGCGCACACCATTTGCAAGAGGAGCTCAATGATCGGCAAGGTGGCCATGGCGTCACACACATCCAAGCACATGGAGAGCGCTCCGAGAACGCTCGCGCCAAACCGCCCACAGAGCGTGCTGCCGTGCTCGGAGAGCAGCAAGACAGCGTTGAGAATATCGCCTTGGACCAAAGCGGCTTCGTGGCCGCCGTCAAAAGTGACGTTGGCAAGGCACGCTGCGAGCTTTTGCCGCGTCTCTTCGTTGTTGACGTCGCTCTCGCACATCTTGGCGACAACTTGACCAATGTTGATGTCCAATAGAACGCTGAGAAGACTCGGATCGCACGAGAGGTTGTAGAGGGCGGTGACGCACAAGAGGCGAATCTCGAGGCTATCGAGGCGCGCGAGCTTGACGAGCGCGTAGAGGACGCCGCCTTTGATCATGGAATGGCGGCAGTCGTCGTGGGTGAGGGCGTTGAAGAGCACTTTGGCGCAGATCTCTTTGGTCGAGTCGCTGTTGATGCGCAAGAGCGAGTTGACGATAAAATCGGAAATGGTACCTTCCTTCCAGAGGTGCCGGAGACCTGAGGGACCGCGGGTGCCACGCTCGGCCGCAAGCCCGCAAAGCGCAGTGGCGCAGTGGATCTGAACCTCTTCAATCCCCGAGCGCATCATGACCACCAACGTCGGGGGCAGCTCGATGCAGCGCGAGAGCACGTCCGTGTAAATGTTGGCGGCCGCGAGCTTCGCAAAGGCAATCGCACAGTTGAGCGAGATCTCGGCGTGCGGGGACTGGGAGAGGTCCATGAGCATCTGCAGGATCGGGGTTGTGGGCGACGCCATCGCAGGACCCGCAAGGTTGCAGAGCGCCGACGATGCACACAGAAGCAGCTCCTTGCACGTCCCGTTGGTCGTCGTGAGTCGCTTGAGCAACTTGAGGACGTCATCGAGTAGCATTTTGTCGCGACTGCTGTCGTCGAACGACACGTTGCAGAGCACGGCGACGCAGCGCTTGTTGGCTTCAAGCGACTTGGACGGCTTGCGAAAGACTTGCGAGAGGATCGCAATCGCGCCTTCCGCGACCAAGCCGGGCCGACTCGGTGCGTAGAACGAGAGGTTGTAGAGGCAGTCGAGGCAAATCTCCTGGACGCGGCTGAGCTGAATCGTCGGCTCCTTGCCTTCGTCTTTGATTTGGAGCGGGTCCTTTAGCAGACCAAGAAGCGTCGCGAGTGTGCCCGGGGCGAGCAGAAACGGCGCCAAGTCCACGTGGGCGCTAAAGTTGAAAAACGCGAGCGCGCAAAATTCCCGGATACTCGGCGCCGACGTGGCCGTAAGGTGCAACACAACGTCGATCGCGTCGCACTGCAGTAGCTCCGCGCGCGACGTCTCGTGCTCCATGAGGCCGCAGAGCAAGGCGACCGCATGGGTCTGCGTCATCGGCGTGCCGTCCCGTAGAAAGTGCAGCACGAGCGGCACGACACCGTGCTGCGTGAGCAAGAGCCGGTCGCTCTGCACCACGTTGGCCAGCGCCAGCGAGATGTTGCTCTGGACGACGCTGTTTTGCATGTAACCAATTTGAATGAGCCGCATCGCAAGGACGCTGCTAATGCGCTGACGTTGCGCGTCCGATCGGCACGTGAGGTTGGCGACCGTCACGGACGAGAGCTCGCGGACCCGCTCGTCGGGCGTCTCGAGAAGAATGTCGAGCACGCGTAGAATCGGGAGCTGGCTCAAGTACCCATAGTTGGTTTCAACGCCCGAAAAGTTGCAAAGGGCCATGGCCACGAGCCGCTTGACGTCGGTGGATGCGCCGGGGTGGCACACGTCGGTCAACGGCTCGAGGAGGCCGTCTTCGACCGCCTAATCTCGACGCGTTACGACGCTATGCCAGCGCGCTGTGTCTGTACCTTGATGCGGGGACCGGTGAGGACCGAGAGGTTGGCCATGGCCTGCGCGACAAAGTGCAAACTCGGCGTATCTTTTCGCGACGTCATTTTCACGATCGTGTGGGTCACCGTGTCCGAGACGGTCGCGCCAGCGTACGATGCAATGTTGATGAGCGCCTTGAGACAGGCCTCTTTTGTGTCAAAGTCGGTGCTGTTCAACATCGAAATCATCGCCGGTACCGAGCCTTCTTGGAGCAGCCGGAACTGCCCCATGCGCTCGTACGACCCGCGGCAGAGTCCAATCGCCGCGTTGCGTCGAACGTCTTCGTGCTGGAGCTTGGAGAGCTCCATGAGACCGCCGAGAAGACCTTCGTCGAGCATGCGCGGAATGAGCGCGCCGTCACACGTGAGATTGACGAGAGCTGCGGCACAGTACTTTTTCACGTCGTTGTCGTCAAAGAGAGAGAGGCGCACGAGCGCGGGAACGCAGCCTTCGAGCACCATGCCCGACTCGTGCCCTGCTTGCAGCGCCAGCTACCAACCGTCCAAATCTCAGTTTGGATGCTTGGTGCAGATCCAAATACCTGGTACAAGCTACAGGCGCACTCTTGCTTCATGCGCACCTCGCGCGTCGTCGCATCTTCGTCAGCGACTTCAATGCGCGCGTCGGTCGGCGTCGTTGTCGCAGCAGCGTTGCGCGGTGTGGAGGGCGCGCTGGATACGGTGCTCGTCGTCGGCGCAGCGCTAACTGTGGTGATGCTAAGGGTCGTTGCTGGCGTCGCCGAGGCCGTCGCTGGTGCCGTCTCGCCTACAGCAACACAATTCGTACGACCGCCAGTGGATACGAACGTATACGCGTCTCGCTGGACGTGGTCATGCGCGAGAGATAGATCATGCCGTCGTCGTAGTCGCCGCGCTGGCTAAAGAGGTCGCCGTGGTACCCGTCGATCGAGTAGTTGCAATTGCGCGGCGTGAGCTTGGACTTGAACGCCGTCATGTTCATGGCAATGGCGCGGTGCGAGTTGCGCCGATCAAACGGCGCTTTCTTGATGTCACTGGGGTTGGGTGTTGACGGGCGCGCGGGGAGCACACTTGCGGACGAACTCGACGGCGACACGGCGGACGGCGGTGTCTCGGACGGCAGCACTTTGGTGTTGATGTGCTTGTACAGCGTGCGCACGAGCTCTTCCTTTGTCGTGTGGTTTTTCCAAAAGTTGCGCTGTCGATGGAGCTTCCAGTGCTTGACGAGGTCGCGGAGCTCTTCGGCGCGAATCGGCGCAGTCTTTGGATCGCGCTTGCGAGGAAAGAGGTTGTAGCGCGTGAGGTAGACACGGAGCACATCGAGCTCCTTGTCGCGCTCGAGGTCTTGGAGCAGCTCCTGCGTGTGTCGCGCCGCTTGGGACAAGCGGTGGCTCATCGCGAAGAAATATGGCCCGTTTCGATCGCCTAAATTAGCTGTCCGACTGTCGCGTGTCGTTGCGGGCGATTTCTCGATACGTCGGCCGCAACGAGATCTGAGATGCAGGCGGTAGCCACTACGCCACATGCGCGCGTCTAGGGCGAACCGCAAGAGAGCGCGGCCGTCCAAGCTAGAGCTACGACACATTCCGCGATGATATGGTGGTGGCAAAATAACATACAAGACACATTGTCGTCGAAACCAAGATGAATAATGTACTAAAGAAGCGTCATAGAATGGGAGGGAGGCACTCGGTGACCGAGTTTTTGTGGCTGAGACCCATGCTACCGATGCTGCGGGAGCTTGGCTTGGTCATCTTGCTTGTTGCGCGATGACTCAGTTTCTTGGTTGTCGCGATGCTGGGCTTGCGGGGACTCTCCTCTTTCGAGCCGTCGCCGCGGCTTGCCGACGCCGTTTCCGCGGACGGTGGCGGTGTCGGTGTCTTGGGTTTGAGTTCGGTGGCCGGCGCCAGCGCTGCAATGTCTACCGCGCGCAAGACAGAGCCCACCGACATGTGCGCGAGGCGCGTCGGCGCCTTGAGGCGGCTCTTCTGGCTGCTCACTTGCAGGATCTGGAACGAGCCAAACAGCGCGTCCTTGATCGTCGATGTAAACTCGCAGTGTTGCTGCGGCAGACAGCTCAAGAAGCTACTCGGCTCGTGCGGCACGAGTGTCGCCGCGTCGACAGGGTCGTCCCGTAGCGTCCACGCCACCGGAATCGTCTGCGGTAGGTGACTTGCCTTGTCGTTCTCGCCTTGCAGAAAGGCCCACTCTTTCTCTTTCGGCGCCCAATGCAGCAGCAGCGGCATCGTTGTCGCGACCTTCTCGGCGCGCTGCATCGCCGGCGGATCCATGTCGAGCATCGAGATCATGGTCGCCACGACACCGGGCTCGTACGCCTCGATCTCGTTCCGGTCGGCTTCCGAGAGCTCGCAGTTGATGTGCGCGAGCGCGACGGCGCAGATCCGCACCTCCTCGTGCGCGCTCAACCGCGCGAGGCGAATCAGCAGCGGAATGACCCCCGAGACGCGGACGTTGCGCTGAAACGAGTGGTCGCGGGCGGCTGTCAAGTTGTGGAGGAGCATGACGCAGTTCTTGGTGGTTTCCTTGTCGCCGGGCGCCGCGAGTGCATGAATGAGCGGGTGCAACCGCTTGTCCTGAATCATTTGGGGGATGCACATGGCGTACGTCGAGAGCGTTCGCAGGATCATCGAGCAGCGCTCCGTCATCTCGGGCGACGCTTTTTTATCGCCCATCGGGACTGCAGCACACAGAATGTCAAAGAGCCCGTCGTCCAAGATACGCGTGCCGCTGTGGCCGCCGCGCGAGAGCCGAAGGAGCGACACGACGCAGTGCTCGATCGTCGTCGGAGTGGCGTCGATCGTCGCCATGCGCAGTAGCTGCACCGCACCTTCCCCCACCATCGCATCTAGCAGCGACGGCGCTTCCGAGAGCGTGCACACAATGCGTGCGCACACATCGGCGACGCTGGTGTAGAGAAGGCGGTTGCCAAAGACGCGAATGAACGTGCGGATAAAGTGGTGCTTCATGAGCGCCGGGCGGTGCTTGGCCTGCTGCGTCATATTGCACAGAAACTTGGCGCTCGTGAGGATGATCCCCTCGTCTTCGTTGGCTTCGCTTACGACGTGAAGCATGGCGCTGATGAGCTCGGCCTCCTCAATCTTTTCGTGGAGATGGCTCCCGCACGCGACGTTGCAGAGCGCGTTGGCGGCAAAGAGCACCATCGATGGGTCTTTTGAGCACACCATGCGCTTGAGGACGTCGAGGGCCGCGCTCGAGGCGAGGCCGTCGCAATTCGCGGGCTGCATCGAGACGGAGCAGAGCACGGACGCGCCGTAGCGCAGGCAGTCGCTGTCGCCGTGCTCGCAGAGCGCGAGGATTGCGTTGAGCACGCCACCTTCCATGAGCTTGATCTCCATGCCCGGCGAGAGCGCCATGTTGGTGAGGCACGCCGAGAGCTTGCGCCGGCTCTCTTCATGCTTAAAGTCCGAGTCGCAGAGCTTCGAGACGACGTGGGGCACGTTGGCTTCCATGAGCGACGGCACCATGCTCGGGTCGCTCGAGAGGTTGTAGAGCGCGGTGACACAGAGGATGCGAATCTCGACGCTTTCGAGGCGCGCGAGCTTGATGAGCGCGTACAACACGCCGTCTTTGATCATGGCGAGGCGGCAGTCGTCGTGCGCGAGGACGTTAAAGAGCACTTTGGCGCACACGACCTTGGTCGAGTCGCTGTTGATGCGCAGAAGTGAGTTGACAATAAAGTCCGAGACCGTCCCTTCCTTCCACATGTGCTTGTTGGTTTTTGCGCCGCGCTCGCAGGCCATGCCACAGAGCGCGGCCGCACAGTGGATCTGAATCTCTTCGATGCCGGAGCGCATCATGACCACCAGTGTCGGCGGCAGTTCGACGCACTTGGCGAGTGCGTCGCGCAATGACGCGTCGGCCGCGACCTTGGAGTAGGCCAAGGAGCACACGAGCGCAATGTCGGCGTGTGGCGTGTGCGAAAGGTCGATGAGCAGATTCAAAATCGCTTGGCCCGAGTGAATGAGACCCGGTATCGCAAGATTGCAGAGCGCGGTGGCACTTGCCAGCTGAAGGTCCTTGGTCGCTGCCGACGACGCGGAGAGACGCCGAAGGAGCTTGAGCACGTCGTCCTGAAGCATTTGCGCGTGGGCGTCGGCGCAGAACGAGAGGTTGGCGATTGTGGCGGCCACGCGGGTGTTGAGCTCCGGGGTTTTCGCGACTTTACGGAAGACGGCGACGCACGCCGCGACACAAGTTGCTTGGACGAGCACGAGCCGGCTACTTGGGTAAAACGAGAGGTTGTAGAAGAAGTGCAGACACTGCTCCTGGATGAAGCTGAGCGCAATCGTCGGGTCCTTCTCTTCTTTCGGGGCGACCGCGAGATTCGATGATGTAAAGAGCGTGATCATTGGGTCGAGAATGGTTGGCAAGAGCGCGTATTGTGCAAAGTCTTCGTAGCAGCTAAAGTTGAAGAGGCCGATCGCGCAGAGTTCGCGGAGCTTGGGCTCGCCGGTCGTCGCTAGTGCAATCACATAATGAAGCACGTCGCGCGAGATGATCTCGGCGCGCGACGGCGCATGCTCCATGAGCGTACACAGCGCCACCATCGCATTGTACTGTGTTGGGATCGAACTCTCGGTGAAGAGCTGCATGAGAAGCGGTACGAGTCCGTGGCGCATGAGCAGCAGCCGGTGCGCTTCGTCGCTCAGCGCCATGTTGGCAATCGCGAGGGACACATTTTCTTGAATTGCGCGCTTGGGGTTGTACCCGGTGGCGATGAGCCGGGGTGGCAGAGGACTCTCGGCGAGCATGACGATCGCGTCGCGGGTCGTCGAGAGATTGGCGATCGCTGTCGTCGCCATCTCGATGATCGCATCGTCGTCGAGCGCAAGAAGCGTATCGAGAGCGAGCAAAAGCGACGGCGTCGTGAGCAAGTGGTGGTTGGTGTCGATGCCCGAAAAGTTACTCAGCGCCATGGCAATCATGGTTTGGACGCGTGGGTCGTGACACGATTGCGTAATCAGAGGAATGGGATCGAGGATGCCATCGTCCGGCGCCTATGTTTGCAGTGGAGAACAATCTACGAGCGACTAGGTGTACCTTCATGCGTGAGCCCGTGAGCAGCGAGAGGTTGCAGATCGTTTCGATGATGAAGCGGTCGTACGCCGCGTCTTTCTTGGCTGCGATGCGAATGACCGTCGAAATGACCGACTCGGAGACGTTACCCCCTAAGATGGTTGCGTGCGCCTAGACATCCCTTTATGGAGGTACCGGAAAAGGACGCGATGTTGACGAGCGTCTTGACACACGCCTCTTTCGTTTCAAAGTCCGTGTTGTTGAGCATCGAGATGAGCGCCGGCACCGAGCCTTCTTGGATGAGTCGGTGTTGGCCTTGGCGCTCGTACGAGATGCGGCAAATGCCAATCGCAGCGTTCCGCCGAATATCTTCTTGCTGCACTTTGGCGAGCTCCATGAGACCGGCCAAGACGCCCTCTTCGATCATGCGCGGGCAGAGGCTAGGGTCCACCGAGACGTTGACAATGGTCGCCGAGCAAAATTTCTTCACGTCCAAGTCGTCGTAGTTGCACAACTGGACAATGGCCGGGATGCATCCTTCGAGGACGATGCTATTCTCGTGCCCCGGCTCCAGCGTGAGCTACTTGATGGTCTTTACCGCTATCCCACACGATTCATAAATCGTACCTGGTAGAGACTGCACGCGCACTCGGCCATCAAGCGCTTCTCCCGCTGCGCCGCGTCTTCATCCAGCGTCTCCATCTCGGGGGCGAGCGTCGCCGGCTTGTTTTGGTCCAGGAGGTTCTGCAGCTCCGCTTCGACAGCCAACGGCTTCTCGGGCTTGGCGAGGCGCGAGACGTAGATCATACCGCTGTTGTAGTCGCCGCGCTGGCCAAAGAGGTCACCGCCGTACGGGTCGAGCGCCTGGTCGACGCGACCGCCTCTCGCATCAGGCATTGTGTTGAAGCGCGAGACGCGGCGTTTCACAGGACTCTCAGTCGTCCCCGCGCTGTACGGCCGTGTCGGCGACGGCGCCACGGGGGCCATCAACGGCGGCGTCGGCGTCAACGGCGGTTCGGGCTGGAGCGGCAGCGGGTTCTTCTCGTTCGGCAGCACTTTGGTGTTAATGTGCTTGTACAGCGTGCGCACGAGGTCTTCCTTTGTCGTGTGGTTTTTCCAAAAATTGCGCTGTCGATGGAGCTTCCAGTGCTTGGCCAAGTCCCGGAGCTCTTCGCTGCGAATCGGCGCCGTTTTCGGATCCCGCTGCCGTGGAAACAAGTTGAGGCGCGTGAGGTAGACACGGATCACATCGAGCTCTTTGTCGCGCTCGAGGTCTTGGAGCAGCTCCTGCGTGTGTCGCGCCGCCTGGGACAAGCGGTGGCTCATCGCCGCCGCGAGATCGGTTTTCGCGAAACGAATTTTAAAGATAGCTCGCGCCAGAACGCAATTAGTGTTGTACCCTACCCCTTGTCGGACGGATCCATACGATGACGCGTCCCCGATGCAAGCTTGTGATGGCGGTGCAACGTGACGACACGCGACTCGTCTCGAGAGCAAGCAAGCATGGCAATCGACCGTGGAGAGTGCCCTCCACGTGACGGGTGCACGTCGATCCGTTCGTACACTATTCAAGTCTGCATACTATTTGAAGCGTCGACGCACGTAGACGCAAGGTATTTTGAGACTTGCTACGTGCTTGTCATCATGGCGCTCCGGTCGTTCAGCAAGGACACGCTGCAAGGTGGATGGCTTGCGACCACGAAGGCGTGCTCATGAACTTGTAGATAATTGGTACGAGGAGCGCTGCGAGCCGCTCCAGGGCGTCCTTCCATACGAAGAAAAGGTACACCTCCAGTTATATATCGGCAGTCACCCAACATGCGCGTAGACGCGGTATACGACGACGGTGGAGGCCGATTTCGTCAACCCGGTAGGGATTCAGCGCCGCCACGAGCTGCACAAGAAGGTATATCTGCTGCGAGTTGGTTGGCGTCATGTGTTGACGTAGACACCGCGGCCACGCTTGCTTCGCAGCGACAACTACGAGGAGGCAGTGGCAGCACGGCCGATCCGCCATCGACCGGAAGCGGGTTTCGGTGCTGTGCTCCCGACGCCGGATCCCAGCCTCGCGAGCCGGCACCTCAAGACGATCAACCAAGAGGCCTTCGGCTATCCGTCGAGCGGTCTGCCCCGGCACCTTGTGCTGACCGCGGGCGGTGCGGGTGGCGTTCGCGTCGAGCACGGAAAAGCGGCGTCGGGCGCATCAGGCGAAGTCGTTCGACAGCACGCCGACCCGCAAAAGGACACGCATGCCCAGCGATCGTGGATGTACACAAAAGACCCGATCCTGGCGCGCGTGCGCCAAGGCGGCAGCAGCAACCAAGAAGCCGAGGCCACCAAGAGCCCACGCGCCCACTACCGGCGTCAATCAACGAGCATCACGACCGTCTATCAAAAGAAGGATGGAATTTACTACGACGACTAGATGACAACTTGAACATACTAGCAACCAACATACACGTGTTTTGCTCTTTGATGTCAATTGGTCGTTATTGTCCATGGCTAGGTATATGCGACGCGAGACGGTGCCGCAGCGCCGTTAGCTCGGCCGTGCACGCCGCGACGTGGGCAGGTGCGACATGCGCGACAACGCGGACACCACCCCGTGCATCGGCAAACACTTGAAAGAAATGAAGGAACCCGCCGTTCGCCGTCTCAAGCTGGTCCACCGCGGAAGCAAAGCCGCCTACAAAAACTCCTCCGCGTCTCTGAATACGCTTTGAGACGAGAGGCGCGGACCTTGCGTGGGCATTTGCAGCTGCGTAAAGTTGTAGCGAGAGAGGTTCGTGGTCGACACGACCACATCCGCAGCCTCGGGCGCGTGCCAATAGAGCTTAGACCACGACGCGGCTTTCTCGTAGACGGCTGCAATGTCACTGACTGCGGACTCCTTGGCCGATTCGATTGCCAAACGACACGCAGACGCCAGCGCCGCCACGTCATTCTTCGATGGCGGCGGGACATGCACGGCGTAAATCATGTTGCCAATGGTGGTGGCTGGCAGCGGGGGACGGAACACGGAGCGGACATTGACGAGGACGCGGAGGTACGTGGCCTTGGTCGCGTCTTGGCTCGCAACTAGCTGCCAGCAGAATGCAGATACGACGTCGTTTGTGCTCGCGCGCGGAAAGTTAGCCGATGCCTTGAGCGCGTTGATTTCGTCAGGCGAGAGCCAAAACACGAGCCCTTGTACGCAGAGGTCGCCGGGGGCACGGGCGGCCGGCCGGGACGCGTGAGGCGTCACAAAGAGCCATGACGTCGACGGCGTCACGCGCGAGAGACGCGCGTGCAAGTGAGTATAGGGTCCGCTCCAGTCGATGACGCTGTCTGGACGTCGTACATGTTGTGCCGCGTCCGCAACAAGCGAGAGAAAATGGTAGAACGACGCGGCGTCCCCAAGGCAATGGGCAAACTCAATCGACAGCACTGAGCCCGAGTGATCCGCAAGGTGCGTCACCGTGATAAACACTAATGGCGTCGACTGCTGGACCATCGCGCGCACCGAGGTCGCGTGCGTCGGATTTGCAAAAAGCTTGCTGAGCGGCCGCCGGACCTGCCACATTGTCGCGGTTGGTGAGAGAGCCACCGCATCGAGGTGTAGCTCCGAGACTTGTGTATGGAACGGGATCCCACATTGGTCGTTGTCCAGCTCGACCGCCAGTCGCACCGCTCGGTGGTCTTTGCCCGTGTGCCATTGCAATCGTCCAGCAAAGATGGGAAACGCATCCAGCGCCGTTCGAATGGCCTCCTGGAGATCGTCCGTGGCGATGACACTGGCGTACACAAGCGTGATTGGCAGCCATCGCGACGCTGAGAGCAGCTCGAGCGGGCCCAACAGAAAGCGTCGTCGCGCTGAAAGGTCGTGGCGAGGCCGCAGAACCGTGCCGTTGTTCCTGGTGGCTTCACTACCAACCATATGGCGCTAGAGACCTTGTAATGAATGAAGGAGCTTTCCAGACGACTTGAAGGTAATACAAATGTATGCAACACGTGGCATAGCGATCTTTGCGCAGACTTGACCATCCCACCAGATGCGTGTCCGTCCTTGCGCCATTTTATAGAACAGTCATAACTCAATGGTCAAACTGGCTGTCAAACTACTGTACACGCCTCGCCGCCTCGTTGTCGTCGTCGTGACGTGTCAAACGCAACAGACGGCGACTGATGTCGCTGGTTTCCAGAATCTTCTGCCCCACTTTGGAGCGACAAGATCGTTTGCGTGGTCGACAGCCCGTGGGACGCTGAAACCGCTCGAGTAGAAGATCGTCACATTCCATTTTCACGACCACCGTTCATTCCATGACAATTGTGCTTCGACCGGCCACCTTGGCCGACGCGCCGGGCGTCGCTGCTGTCGTCGCCGAGGGCTGGACTGCGTTCTCGAGCTTCTTACCGTCGTCGTTTGTCGACGAGCAAAACCGAAGTCACTTGCCCCGGTTCCAAGAGCTCTTGTCGAAGCCGAACCCAAGCTCGAGCATGGTGCTCATGGTTGCTGTGGACACGCGTGACGACGGCACTGAGGTTGTCGCTGGCGCTTGCACCGTGGGCACGACGCGCCAGAAACCCGCGGCCATCAAGGACCTCTACACGTACGAGCTTCGGTGCATCTACGTCCACGCTGGTTACCACGGTCAAGGCATCGCAAAGAAGCTTTTCCAGGAGGCTCTCCGCGCGTTCGAAATCCCAGTAGATGCACCCATCTTTTGCAACGTCTTCCTCAAGAACGTTCGCGCCTGTCGCTTCTACGAAAAGCTGGGCGCAATCGAGGTGTACCGCGAAGCCAACTCGATCTATAGCCCCGAGCCGGAGTTCATCCTATCGCTTGCCTGGTCCCGGGCAGGGGATATTCTGTCGCCACCGACGGCAGCACGAGTAGCTAACAAGTAGAAGAAAAGTCTTCCAACTAAGAAAAGACCATGGCGGTAAATTTATGACCTTGATAAGACCAACAAATACAAGCAGATGAGAACTTTGACCTGCTCGCAAATCACACGCATTTGGCGCCCAAGATCGTCCGGATAAAGCTCGCAACGATCTAAAAACACGCGCGTTAAACTCGGAAAAGGGCCAGCGCCATCATCCGCATAATGTTTGCCGGATACGGGAGAGCGTGGATCTGTACTTGTGTTTTGTATCACGTGTTTAAAACACACGAAGACACATGTGAGAAATACACTTCTCGTGCAAGCAGTATCCGGATTTCCATCCGGCCCACACCACACAGGAGATTCTGGGGCGGCATGGCGGCGCTAGTCGAGAAGCTCGTCCGACTCATCGCTCGGTACATGGACGACGGAAGCGTCTTCTTTGCATGCTCATGGACGCTAGGGCCTTCTACTCGGACGAGCATATCGTCGTGCTTGAAGCTCTCCTGCGCGAGCGCTTCCTAAAGGTACCCACCACGCTATGGGCAGCAGCGCATGACGTCGATCGGCCCTAGGACGACGAGATGGGCAACGCAGTGAACCTCCAGACAAAGCAAGTGCGCAAGATCTGCCATGATCTCGAGAAGGAAGACATGATCTCTCGGTGCGAGTGGCCTCACCGGCGAAGCACTGACCCTGGCCTGTAGCGAGGAGCTCAACGACAAGAAGCTCGGGGGCGCGTCCAAGGCGACGTATTGGTACGCACAGCTAATGGCGAAATCCTGCAGCTAAAGCACATGCAGGTACATCGACTACAAGCACTTTGTCAACGTCGTGCGCTACCGCCTGTACATCATCGCGCACCATCTCAAGGAGAGCGAGCAGCTCGAGATTGAGCGGCAGACCTTTCGGTGCTCCAACGATGACTGCGGACGCGAGTACACGGCCCTCGAGGCGCAGCTTCTCCTCACGCCCGATGTCTACGAGTTCCACTGCGGTCATTGCAACTTCAAGCTCGTCGAGGTACGACCTTTTGGTGTACCGTTTTTACGCTCCTCACACCCCGCGTCTAGTGTGACAACAACGAGAAGCTTCAAACGATCAAGGGGCTCCTGGCCAAGGTGAGGACCCTTCAGCACTGCAAGGGCCTTATGGATTACTTGTGGTGTAGTTTAAGGTCCAGCTCAACCGCCAAGAAGACATGCACGATGGCATCTACGAGTGCTTGGCGCGTATTAGCGAGTGGCAAAACTCGGGCCAGGCCCTCCCAAGGTCCGTACGAATATTCTATATGACAAAATCCGACTTTTTATGTTAGCAATCTGCCGAGCGAGAACCGCGCCGCTGGTATCGGCGGCGCGTCCACGGCCAAGATGAACGGCCGCAATGGCGGTGGCGGCGGTGGTGGCGGTGGGGGTCCTGGTGGCAACCGTGGTGGCGACGAAAAGACCTCGGGCCTCTACGGCAAGTTTGAGGTTCGTTGCGCGTCGTCGAGCCATCAGAATAGTTGACGCTGGGTGTCGCATAGGATGCCAAGATCGTGATCGACATTGCTGAAAACGCCAACCAGGATGAGTACTCGACGCTCAACCCCAACAAGCCGGTACGATACCAAGCGATCGACATCGTCATCTTGAACCGAGCCATGTAGAAGGAAGAAATCAAGCTCCAAACGGCCAACTCGGGGCCGGCGATGCCCGAGTTTATCATGGGCAGCAAGATGAGCGACAACATGGCTGCCAAGTACAAGAAGAACGCGATTCCCGAGGTCCTCGCAACCAGTGCGTCGGCCGCGAGCCTCAACGCCGGTGTCAGTATGGGCCTCTCGTCCCGCGAGGCGGAGATGCGCGAGGAAGCCTTCCGTGAGGCATACAAGCGCGAAATGGAGCGGTACAACGAGATCAACGCGGCCGAGGTCGTGTGGGACTCTGTGAGTGGCAACAAGTGGGTCGACGCGGCCTCGAAAGAGGACGAAGACCTCGAAGACATGGTACGCACGATCGCTGTCGCGTGACGAGGGATTGACATGGGCCTAGGAGTGGGAGTGGTGCGACTCGACGCAAGACGATACCTATGACGAGGAGCAGCAGTCCGTCATGGTGTCTGTCAACGGCTGTCCGACACCCATCGTGAAGCTCACGGACGACGACCTCACGCGCATGACACCCGACGAATATGCAGCCTTTTACCAACTCTGCCGCTCCATGATGGTCTAAGCTCTGAAAGAAAAAGACAAATATGTATCAGATTGGATGCTTCTTCGCGAAGCATTAGTCGCTATCAGAGCCGCTGACGTCGGGACTGCCAATGTCCTGGAGACCGAGCGGTGCTGCCGGCGACCGGGGCGCCGACACGAGCGAGTTGAGACTTTCGTCGTAGACACCGCCAACCGCCATGAGGCCTTCCAGGCGCTTCTCTTCCTCCGCCTCCGAGTACGGACGGCGGTGGACGACAGCCCCCCGACGGCGCTTCTCGTCACCACCAAGCTACACGTTCCATGAGCAACTAACTACATGCGGCTGGGAGCGTACCTTGGTCTTCTTGAGCATAATGTTGGTCGAGAGACCGCAGTAGGTGGCTGCGGATGCACCCGGCTTGAGCATGAGCATGAGTTGCTGCACGTCGTTGGGGAACTAGAAAGGGCGTGTTAGCATCCCATGACTGAAGTTGATCGGGTACATGCGAGATGTTGAGAATGTAGTCGCGAAAAAACTTGAACTTTTCCGTCCCTTCGTCGTCCGAGTTCTACGGAGGATAAGCTCGCTGTCAGGGAACCGAGAGGATGACTGTACGTCGTCGTGGGCGGACGGGAAGAGGACCGAGCCGAGGAGAACGTCGCTGCCAGGCTGCGAGACCGTGACGACGTTGCGCAAGATGGACCGAGCTTCGCGTTCCTTGATGCTGGCGTCGGTCGTCTCCTCCGAGGGCAAAATGTCGTACGAGAGGATTGAGTACACGTTGCTCGAGAGGAGCTCGTCCGGGAAGACGTCCCAGACCTCGGCGGCTTTGAGGTTCTTCTTGAGCGGATGCTTGACCGTTTCCTTGGTCGGGCAGTTTACAAACGACTCTTCCGCGCGGACTTCAATGTCCTTGATGACCTGGAGCATCGACTGGTTCTTGTCGCGGATCTCGGTCTGGAGCTCGCTTTCGTTTTTAAACTACTTGACGCATGAGCCCACGGTACGAGGTAGCTATGATCAGTACCGCGTGGACGGCCTCGCTGAGATCCGTAGCCATGTACTCGGTACGGCGCAGCCACGAGACATGCGGGCGGATCTTGGCCTTCGTGAGGCTCGCGCCGTTGACGATCTCGGGCATCTTCATGAGCGCTTCATCTTCCGGGTCCATTTGGGCACCCACAGGAACCTCGTACTTCTCCGGGTCGATGAGGTCGACGGCCACGCCGAGGTTGCGCTCGGGGTAAAAGTCCCAGACAAAGTCCTTCTCGAGCTGGTTGGGCTTGTACTTGATGAAGCGCTGCGGGTCCTGCGGGTACGTGACGAACTTGGCATCGAAGGGCATGTCGGGCAGCGTGTTGCGGAACTCGAGCGTCCCGAGGAACTCGGACTGGCGCCCGAGGAGCACCCGGCGCTTCTCCTGCGCCTGGAGCTCGAGCACCTTGCGCGTGTGCTCCTTGCGCTCCTTGAGCTTGTCGTCCTTGTACTTCTGGATCTTCCGCCGGTCCATCGCCTTCTTCGTCTCCTCGTCGCGGCTGCGCTTCTTCTCGTCCTTCTGGCGCGGCTCCATCCTGCTCTTGGACCAGCGGCCAGTAGCACGTCCCAATTTCTAACTCATATTTCGGACACCGCCGTTGAGATTCGGATAAAGCCTATTCTAGGAACCTTGCCCAATTTTGATTTGTTCAAGTGACAAGACATCAAGCACAAGACCCTTCCTGGAGTTAACTCGTCATCGGCGCTACGCACTGTCCTTGATCATGCGCTCGTGGGTCTCGTGGAGGCCCTTGAAGTACTTGACCGTCTTGACCTTGAGCTCGAGCGTCGCATCTTCGTCGCACACTAGAGGCAATGTAGCAATTAAGGGAGCGTGGTGATGGCCTACCAATCACGGCCTTGGCATGGAGCTGAATGGAGGACACGGTCCACATGTGGTTGACGCCCTCTTCGATGCACTTGTATAGCGCGTAGGCCTTGGAGTGGCCTGTGATGATCACGAGCACCTCGCGAGCGTCCATGACGGTGGCCACGCCCACCGTGAGCGCCATCTTGGGCACCTGCGCCATGTCGCCGCCAAAGAAGCGCGAGTTGGCAACGATGGTGTCGTACGCCTACAGCTCATAGATAGCATGACGCGAATCTGCAGTTTCCGACGCACCAGCGTCTTGACGCGCGTGCGCGACGCCAAGGACGACCCTGGCTCGTTGAACGCAATGTGCCCGTCGGGGCCGATGCCGCCAAGGAAGAGCTCGATGCCGCCGACAGCGGCGATCTTGGCCTCGTACGCAGCGCACTCTTGCTCGAGATTGGGCGCGTTGCCGTTGAGAATGTGGACGTTGGCCGGCGGAATGTCAATGTGCTTGAAAAAGTTGGACCACATGAACGTATGGTAGCTCTCGGGGTGCTCCTCGGGCAGGTTGACGTACTCGTCCATGTTGAACGTCACGACATGTTTGAACGAGATTTTGCCCTCGCGGAAGAGCGCCACGAGGCGCTTGTAGGTAGGCAGGGGCGAGCTGCCAGTGGGCAGGCCTAGCATCGCCTCAGCCCACAGCACCAGGCGAGGTCGTACCGAGCACGAAGGGGCGGTCGGCGGTCGGACCAAAGTCCTTGATGCGTTGCACAACGTACGCAGCGACCCAGTCGCCGACGCGGGCCGCGTCTGGGGCGATGATCAGCCGCATATCCACTTCTGCATTGCGAGCGGCCAGCGTCCGGATAGGGTGCAGCCAACCGGCGCGATCTTGGAAAGGGCAACTTCAACTTGGCCGCAGAGGGCGCTGCAGGAGGCGCCGCGACGTGGTTCTGCCAAGTGTTCATCCCGCCGCACGCCCATGGGAGAGTTGAAAGCATGGCCCCGACGCGTTGCTAGAGTGTATTCTGTGGCAAAAATGCAAGTCATTGCTGGACTGCAATGTCCGAAAGGCCACATTCATTAGCGTTACGCACCGAAACGGCGGCGACTGGAAAGGCTGTTTGTGATGGCGGATGGCCCGACAAGTCGAGCGCTGCGACCGCCGCCCCGCGTTCGTTGGCCAACGCCGTGGTCGCCTCGGTGCCACGTTCTTCTTGGCGTCGCCTACCTCGCCATATCGATGGGTTGCAGTCTATTGTATGTGCAGGTGCTCACCGAGAGCTTTGCCAACGATCTGTGGTGGCCACGCTACAATGCGACGGGCTACGAAGCTTTTCTCGTCGACGTGGCCAACGACGCGCTTCAGACACGGCCCAATGGCTCTTTGGACCTTTTGCAATTGACAATCGACAAGCGCTACAGTGCGGCGGCTTCGAGTACGACCTTTCTTGCCACGTACGCACGCCGGCTCGCGCTCGTCGAGCTCACGACGCTAGAGTACGCAGTCACGAATCTCCGAGCTCTGGGTGCGTTCTGGGCGCCCTACATGAACGTACAGCACTGCTGGGTCGACTTTAACCGGACGTTCGAGCTTGCCCACACAACGAGGCGGCAGCGGCGCTGCAGTCGCAACTACCTGCGCAATGCAGCCGTGCACGTCGAGGCCACGCTCCGGAACGTTGTTTGGGACGAATTTATCGCGACATGGGGAGGACCCGGCGGGATGTTTACGTTGGCCATTCAGCTCGCGCTCGAAGAGACCCCGGCCGGGCGCCGCTGGCTGCAGACGACAGCAGCAGCCCGCGCTAGCACGTCCATAAGCGCGGAAGTCGCCTACTGGTCGGCCCACAACTTCACGCGATTTCAACTCAATTGGCAAAACAACGTCCAAACGGGACTCTCCGAGTCGTTTTCGATCACGAACGCACTTGGGATGGACCATGTCTTTAGCATCAAAGCGCTGCACCACCAACCAGGACCGCAAACCTCCGTCAACCTCTACTGGGGTCCCAACAACGACTGGGACGTCGCCAAGCTCTACAACATGAGCCTCGTGCGACACAGCGACAACTGGATCGGCCCCACGGACTGGGAAGAGCTCGATCAGCTCCTCAACGCAACAGGTGGACTCTCCGAGCCGCTGGCCACGTTCCACAACCGCGTCGGGCCGTACGTCTCGATCGATTTATATCTCGTGGGCGTTCCGCCGTCTGTCATGGCTGTCTACTATGCGTTTCAAGCGCTCCTGGCCAACGCCACAGTGCCTACCGCGTCTGTTCTCGTCACACCGACACCGCCGGCATGGAAGACAACGCCGCTTGCCTACATGGGCGGCAACCCCGCGTGCCTCTCACTGCCTCGGTTTACACCCTACGTGCAGCACCCGTTCAGCTACACCGACGACTGTTCTGGGAATGCTCCGTTCACGATCAACATGACTACGTATGGAATGCTCTTTGCGCGTCTCTGGGATCTTGCCAATGCCAGTGCGATCTGCGCCGTCACGGCCGACGCGCCGGTCTGTGCGAAGATTCTCTTGGAGAGCATTATCGTAGCACCCAACATCACACTGCCGCCACATGTCTTGACCGCCGCAAGTATCGATATGGTGCACACGAACGCGAGCCTCATGCAATTTGCGATCGACAGCTCTGGGACGTGGCGACTTCTGCGTGAGCCAATGATAGCACCGGCCTCGGCCGCGTGGACCTTCTTTGGCTGGCTCCTCGTGCACGACTGGATTCTCGGTAGGCGCGAAGTCGTCTCGTTCGAAGGCGACGTCTCGTCCATCGTCTTGGTCTCGGACATGTACGAGCCCCTCGTGTATCCGACGAGCGGCGGTGATCGGTACATGGAGGGTGCGACGCACTACGTTGCCTACCTCATCACGTCGTCCATCTCGAGTCGCGTGCTTCTCGCCGTCGTGGTTGTTTGCGTGCGCTTTCTATCCAAGGGCGCTGTCGACGGGAGCAGCCTCGTCTTCTTCAACCGCGTTGTCGGGTCCGTCTGGAGTGGTCGACCGCTCATGTTCTTGCAGGGAATGACCGCGCTTGTGATGTTGAGCACGGCGCAGTTATCTCTGGTCCAGAACTCTGTGGATGGCGCCACCCAGCTGCAATATGCGCCGCGACCGCTTTGGATCACTGCGATCATCGCGGGAGAAGCCACGTGGGTCTGCTACGTGCTGCAAGAGCTGCTGCTTGTCGCTGTGGGGGGCGCTGTCACGCGAGCCGCGAGTCCATACGGTACCGCCTTTGTGTGGGCGACCTTTCTAGTGATCGATGGCATGTACCCGGTCACCGCAGTCGGCAGCTTGAACCGGACGTGCATCAGCTATGATATGGACTATCAGCTGGACTGCCACAGCGGCAACCTTCGCATTGGTGACACTTATCGCGTCATACTTCTCTTGTCAATCGCTGTTGGCGTCACACTAGTCAGCATCGTCCTTGCGCGCCATTGGCGCCAAACGCCGCGCGTTGCACCGGTCCCTTTTGCGCTCATACCGCAGCTCCATTTGCACTTGTGTGGCATCTCGCAAGCTCTACTCACACTCCGATTGGGGGAGACAAGTCACGATGACATTGCCTACTTCATGTCGGGCATTCTTACGTGGACGCTGCGGGAGCAGCGATACCTCTTTGACATCAAGACGTGGATCTTTGTCGATTTGGGGCGCAAGAGCTCAGCGCCCGAGCCGTGGGCCGGACCCGCTTTGGCGTCTCCAGCTCCACAAGCGGCATCGAACGTGCAACGCAGTGTCGTGTCCCTTGCGGCCCTCGCGTACCTCGGAGCGACAATCGCGGCGAGCATCTCGTATATCCAAGTGTCGGCGGTAAATCTTGCCAACGACTTTTGCTGGTCCCACTTCAATAGCTCCGGCACCCATGTCTTCTTGGCCTCGTGGATAAATACGCAGCTTGTGCTCAATCGAACGCACCAAGGTCCGTTCCTCTTGACCTTGCCCAGCATCAACCTCTTCAGTCCCTTCAACGCAAGCACAGCCACAGTGCCCGCCGTCCTGAATTACGCGGCCAAGCTCCAGCACGGCGTCTTTGCCACTCGCCTCGAGGCCATCGTTGCCGGTCTCCGCGCCCTCGA